TGCTACTACTACAGTTACTGCTACTACTACTGCTACTACTACAGTTACTACTACTGCTACTGCTACTACTACAGTTACTACTACTGCTACTACTGCTACTACTACAGTTACTGCTACTACTACTGCTACTACTACAGTTACTACTACTGCTACTGCTACTGCTACTACTACTGCTACTACTACAGTTACTGCTACTACTACTGCTACTACTACAGTTACTACTACTGCTACTACTACTACTACTGCTACTACTACAGTTACTGCTACTACTACAGTTACTGCTACTACTACTGCTACTACTACTGCTACTACTACTGCTACTACTACTACTACTGCTACTACTACAGTTACTACTACTGCTACTGCTACTACTACTGCTACTACTACAGTTACTGCTACTACTACTGCTACTACTACAGTTACTGCTACTGCTACTACTGCTACTACTACAGTTACTACTACTACTACTGCTACTACTACAGTTACTACTACTGCTACTACTGCTACTACTACAGTTACTGCTACTGCTACTACTACAGTTACTACTACTGCTACTACTGCTACTACTACAGTTACTGCTACTACTACTGCTACTACTACAGTTACTACTACTGCTACTACTGCTACTACTACAGTTACTGCTACTACTACAGTTACTACTACTGCTACTACTGCTACTACTACAGTTACTGCTACTACTACAGTTACTGCTACTACTACAGTTAATACTGCTACTACTACAGTTACTGCTACTACTACTGCTACTACTACAGTTACTACTACTGCTACTACTGCTACTACTACAGTTACTGCTACTACTACTGCTACTACTACAGTTACTACTACTGCTACTACTACAGTTACTACTACTGCTACTACTACTGCTACTACTACAGTTACTGCTACTACTACAGTTACTACTACTGCTACTACTACTGCTACTACTACAGTTACTGCTACTACTACAGTTACTACTACTGCTACTACTACAGTTACTGCTACTACTACAGTTACTACTACTGCTACTACTACTGCTACTACTACAGTTACTGCTACTGCTACTACTACTGCTACTACTACAGTTACTGCTACTACTACAGTTACTACTACTGCTACTACTACAGTTAATACTACTGCTACTACTACAGTTACTGCTACTACTACAGTTAATACTACTGCTACTACTACAGTTACTACTACTGCTACTACTACAGTTACTACTACTGCTACTACTACTGCTACTACTACAGTTACTGCTACTACTACAGTTACTACTACTGCTACTACTACAGTTAATACTACTGCTACTACAGTTACTACTACTGCTACTACTACTGCTACTACTACAGTTACTGCTACTGCTACTACTACTGCTACTACTACAGTTACTACTACTGCTACTACTACTGCTACTACTACAGTTACTACTACTGCTACTACTACTGCTACTACTACAGTTACTGCTACTACTACAGTTACTACTACTGCTACTACTACAGTTACTGCTACTACTGCTACTACTACAGTTACTACTACTGCTACTACTACAGTTACTACTACTGCTACTACTACAGTTACTGCTACTACTGCTACTACTACAGTTACTACTACTGATACTACTACAGTTACTGCTACTACTACTGCTACTACTACAGTTACTACTACTGCTACTACTACAGTTACTACTACTGCTACTACTACAGTTACTGCTACTACTGCTACTACTACAGTTGCTACTACTACAGTTACTACTACTGATACTACTACTACTACTACTGCTACTACTACAATTACTACAACTGCTACTACTGCTACTACTACAGTTGCTACTACTACAGTTACTACTACTGATACTACTACTACTACTACTGCTACTACTACAATTACTACAACTGCTACTACTGCTACTACTACAGTTGCTACTACTACAGTTACTACTACTGCTACTACTGCTACTACTACAGTTACTACTACTGCTACTACTACAGTTACTACTACTGCTACTACTACAGTTACTGCTACTACTACAGTCGCTACTACTACAGTTACTACTACTGCTACTACTGATACTACTACAGTTACTACTACTGCTACTACTACAGTTACTACTACTGCTACTACTACTGCTACTACTACAGTTACTACTACTGCTACTACTACTGCTACTACTACAGTTACTGCTACTACTACAGTTACTACTACTGCTACTACTACAGTTACTGCTACTACTGCTACTACTACAGTTACTACTACTGCTACTACTACAGTTACTACTACTGCTACTACTGATACTACTAGAGTTACTGCTACTACTACTGCTACTACTACAGTTACTACTACTGCTACTACTACAGTTACTACTACTGCTACTACTGCTACTACTACAGTTACTGCTACTACTGCTACTACTACAGTTACTACTACTGATACTACTACAGTTACTGCTACTACTACTGCTACTACTACAGTTACTACTACTGCTACTACTGCTACTACTACAGTTGCTACTACTACAGTTACTACTACTGATACTACTACTACTACTACTGCTACTACTGATACTACTACAGTTACTGCTACTACTACTGCTACTACTACAGTTACTACTACTGCTACTACTGCTACTACTACAGTTGCTACTACTACAATTACTACAACTGCTACCAATGCTACTGTTGCTGCTGCTACTACTGGTACTTATTCTTAGTACGTATTCAGCGTAGTGATGAAACGCTCTCTGTAGAGCAGTTTGTCCCTTGGGGCTACTGTAGAATCATGGCGGTGCAACATCGCGGCCTCCATGTAAGAGGCTCCGCAGTGTCTGTAGATATAAATGTCTCATTCTAAGGTAATAAAAACACAACAGTTCATTATGTCAGGTCTATTAACACCACTGAAAACAGAGTTATGATATTAAATATTACACACTGGACCTTTAAGTGTTGACAGGTCTGGTTCTGTCAGCAGAGACAAGTCACGTAAACTATGTTGTTATTGCTGTTTGTGTTTGACGATGCTGCTGATTCACCCGGAGTTTGGAGCCGCAGTCGACCCGGCTCAGGTGTGGGGGACAACCCGGCCAATCAGAGTCTATCTATCAGGTAGGAATGCGTACAGTGATGATGTCTTCCTGAGAGAGAGAGAGAGAAGATTTTCAGTGATTGTGATTTAACTGTATGGGTCGTAAAGGATGCGTGTGGATGCAGCCGCCACTACGTGCCACCGCTGGTTTGCAGACCGCCGTTTGGAAGCCTCCAGTTTGGCATTTTGGCAGTTGCCATCTTGGTTTTATTGGAGCCAGATGTGACCATATTTGGACGTGAGGGTGGAGCTTGCTAGCTTGGTTAGCAAAGTACATCTGTTATTCATCTTAACTGTGATATTAGCTGGGATGCTAATTTTGGCTAGCGACCAAACAAAATGTACTAAAATGTACAGCGGATACGAGTCGCCTCTATCCTGATTGACAGGTCGCCATCGTAGCGACTGCTGGCCCCTGGAGAGGACGCAGCTTTAAGTCGCCCCCTGCTGGCCGCTAGAGAGGACGCAGGTTTAAGTCGCCCCCTGCTGGCCGCTGGAGAGGACGCAGGTTTAAGTCGCCCCCTGCTGGCCGCTGGAGAGGACGCAGGTTTAAGTCGCCCCCTGCTGGCCGCTAGAGAGGACGCAGGTTTAAGTCGCCCCCTGCTGGCCGCTAGAGAGGACGCAGGTTTAAGTCGCCCCCTGCTGGCCGCTAGAGAGGACGCAGGTTTAAGTCGCCCCCTGCTGGCTGCTGGAGAGGACGCAGGTTTAAGTCGCCCCCTGCTGGCCGCTAGAGAGGACGCAGGTTTAAGTCGCCCCCTGCTGGCCGCTAGAGAGGACGCAGGTTTAAGTCGCCCCCTGCTGGCCGCTAGAGAGGACGCAGGTTTAAGTCGCCCCCTGCTGGCTGCTGGAGAGGACGCAGGTTTAAGTCGCCCTCTGCTGGCCGCTAGAGAGGACGCAGGTTTAAGTCGCCCCCTGCTGGCCGCTAGAGAGGACGCAGGTTTAAGTCGCCCCCTGCTGGCTGCTGGAGAGGACGCAGGTTTAAGTCGCCCTCTGCTGGCCGCTAGAGAGGACGCAGGTTTAAGTCGCCCCTGCTGGCTGCTAGAGAGGATGCAGGTTTAAGTCGCCCCCTGCTGGCTGCTAGAGAGGACGCAGGTTTAAGTCGCCCCCTGCTGGCTGCTAGAGAGGACGCAGGTTTAAGTCGCCCTCTGCTGGCCGCCGGAGAGGACGCAGGTTTAAGGCTCTTTTCAGACGCAGATGTTCTTGCTTGATGTGGGTCAGTATTTTGGGTCAGTTTGGTCCGCATCACATCAGCCCCCCCACCCACCAGGATCCCCAGGTGTGTGAGCCAATGGGAAGAGAGTAAGGCTCCAACTTAATGCTAACATTAGCCAGGTGACGTGCTGTGAAGGTTAGCTTGTAGAATTTGTTTCAGGGTTTTTAATCAGAGTGTTGCCTCCGAGTCTCAGAGGGGATCTCTGTGTTCCTGGGTCAGATCTGATCTGAAGTCAGCCTGCCGTCGGTTAATCTGCAGCAGATTAGGACTCCAGATAGGGAATCCTCCTGCCAGTTGCTGCCTAGAATACTACACCTCCCATCATGCACTGCGGGCTCCTGGGCGCAGAGAGACGAGCGGATTCACGAAGCCGCTGCGCTCCGAGCGCACTTCCGCCGAAACCGCACCTGACCTGACGCTCCGACAGAGGCGGGAAGCTCGCGGAGGTTAGCGCGAGGAGACCGGAAACTGAAGGAGTAAAACCTTTTTTACACTGTAGGATTTATACTATAATTTAATTTACTTGAAAATCCAGGCGCTGCGAAGACACGCTTATGCGCTATTAAAAGCTACTATTAGAAAGTAAAATAAGTGTCATTATTTGCGTTTCTGTTAATAAAAACAGGTTTTATCCACTATGACGACAACTTTATTCTGAAAGTCCTACCAGGAAGTGGAGTCGGTTCTTTCCGTTACCCTTCGGTGATCCTCGGGATTCCGTTAAGATCCCGACTTTCCTTCATCTTTTTTCTGGTTCTCCGGGCTGTTTGTGAGCCGCGGAGCTGCCGCGGGTCTCTGCCGGAATATAGCGCCTCTCCGCCGGCCCGCAGCAGCAGGTGCGGTCGGTGTCGGACGGGGTTCGGGTTCGGGCTGAAGGCGAAACATCGGCGCTTTAATCTCCGGATTTTAGATGGAAACCTCGGACAGACGGCGGCGGGAATCAGCGGAGGGATTTTCTGTGATTTCAGTTAGTAAAATCAGCTTAAATTAAATTCACTGCAAGTGATTTTAGTCCAACCATCGGCAGAATAACGCAGGTTATAGCGACACGGTTCTTACAGCTGATTGACAGATTAAATCTTTATTTTTTATACTGACCTTCTCTGCACTAAAAGGATCCTGTGGGTTCCGGTTCTGCTGAGTCTCATTTAACGTTAGAGCAGAGGAACCACATCAGGAACCCTGCAGATGAGTAAATAAAAAACACCTTCATAATTAAACTGTTTCATAACCTTGTAAAAAAAGAGATTTCACAACATCTGCAGAACCGGTTTATTTTATTTTGTCGTAATTTGCGGTAGTTAAAAATAAAACATGTTTTTCTAAAAACACGAGACTTTAGACATTTACCATAAAAAACGAAAGGAAATATCTTTAGGTTAAAAACATCCAGTAAAATGTTCCTTATTTAAAGGACCTTAAAAAAGAGATTTCAGAACATCTGCAGAACCGGTTTATTTTAATTCGTGTTTGCTGTTTGTCTTTTAATCCCCAAATTCCTAAAAACATCTGATGTAGGCCTATGAGTCATTTTAAAGTGATTTTCCTTAAACTACTGTAACCAAATATTTACCAAAACCATCTATTGTAAAAACTGATGGACCAATACTAAATATTAAAAATAATGCGTTTCTGTGAGGTTAAAAACATCCAGTAAAATGTTCCTGTGGGTTCCTGTAAGTTCTGTTTGAAGAACTGCATCTTTTACCTGAAAACACTGGAGGTGAAACACATTTAAACGTTCCTGTAAAGTTCCACAGCTTGACATATTTTCTCCAGTGTGATAGTTGTGGACGAGCGTCCTGATCAGCTCCAGATCAGTCGCATCAATAGTCACTTTTTTGTTTGTTTCACCTGAAACATTTAGTGTCTTTACCGCCCGATGACCTCAACACATCCGAAGATCTAAAGTAGCTCAACACTGAAGTATGTTTGGAAAGTTGACGGCTAAAATATTTTAACTAGCATTAATTTAATTTTGGACTGAGGTTCATAAAGCAGCCTGAGTTTACACGGATCCCTGAGACCACCTGACCCAACTCTGAGACCTGAAGGACTGAAGCTTTTCTGCTGGTCGTCAAAGGTCAAGACGTTTAAACTTCAACAGAAAAACTTTTCATTAGTTGTTTATGCGCCGACTCGCTGCCTCTGTCTGAAACACAATCGTCCACTGAGTTTGTGTGACTTGGCTAACATTAGGCAGCAGCAGCTATGGGACGTGTAGCTGGATGTTGCACAGTTACAGAGACTTCAGCCGTGGACTACAGCTCCCATCAGCGATAGGACCTGCAGCAGATTGGATGGACACGGAGACGAGCGTCCTTGTGTTGGTACAGGAGAGAGTTCTGGTAGCAGATGCGACATCGGCGTCGCACAGGACGGATCGGACTTCCTGGTTCAAACCTAGAACACGTTCTTTTTCTTCTCTGCGGATCTTTAACGCTGAGTTTGTAGTTTTAAGCCGACATGTCGGATAAGACGGCGCCGCGCTGCCAGCTGAGGCTGGAGTGGATCCACGGGTACCGAGGCCACCAGTGTCGGAACAACCTGTACTACACCGCGGGAAAAGAGGTGGTGTACTTCGTGGCAGGGGTGGGCGTGGTGTACAACACCCGAGACCACACCCAGAAGTTCTACCTGGGACACAACGACGACATCATCAGGTGAGGAGGTGGTTGTGATCATATCTCATCATAAAAGGTAGAACATACCGCCACAGTCTGTATGCTAGTCGGGCAAACGTAGCATCAACCGGGTCGTTCAAGTCTGCCACACTAGTCTGGTCCCGGAGATCTAAACCAGCGCCCTGTTTTCAGAGATCTGAACCAGCCTCGTGGTCTCGGAGATATGAACCAGCATCCTGGTTTCAGAGATGTGAACCAGCGTCCGGGCAGTGTCAGCTGCACCTGAACTGTCACATGATCATTGCTGATTGGGTAACACCTCTGATACGCCCACCAAGTGAGAGAAAACTTACCTCACAGCCCAAAACACAGTGTTCGACCCAGAAACTGTAACAAACCGTCACCCTGATCAAACGTTCACATTCTGGCTTCTTCTCCACAGCATCAGCCGCCGAGGCTCATGGGTACTGTAGTATTTAAAGACAGGAGTGTAAAAAACCAAACTGGTGTTCAGAACAGGAAGCAGTACGAAGGCAGTGTGACGCCTGAAGTTCAGCCCAACCTGCAGACAGCAGCACGTTCGCAGTGCATGTATACATCAAAAAAACATGAGATTTATGGATCATTTTTAAGAGACTTTATTTAAATTGTAACTGGACATTTAGCTACTGCTTTAAAAAGCTTTTGAACTACTAATACTTGAAAAACCTAACCCTATACTAAATAATGACAATAATATTTCTGTGGGTTCCTGTAAGTTCTATCTGAGGAACCACATCTTTTACCTGAAAACACTGGAGATAAAACACATTTTAAACGTTAATCACTGTGAATCTGTGCAGAAACAAACGATCCTGTAAACTCCCCAAAGCTTCTCAGAACATTCCCACAGCACAAAACCAGTGCATTGGATCACAGCAGTAATTTGAGCTCCACAGCTGTTATTTTGTGAAGTACAAATATTTTCCTGTGTGATACTTGTGGACAAGAGTCAATTGTTTGTTTGTTTGTTTCTTTGTTTGTTTTACCTGAAACCTTGAGGGTCTTTACAGCCTGATGACCTCAACACATCCGAAGATCTAAAGTTGCTCAACACTGAAGTATGTTTGGTAAGATAGCGGCTAAAATAACGTGACTCCTGAAGATCAGCCCAACCTGCAGACAGCAGCACATACACAGTACATGTACACGTATACAGTATGTCGTGCAGTTCTGGACCAACGTGGACTCCGATAAAAAAGGTTGATCTTTGAATCTGATTGGGACACCAGGAGGCGAGTGGCAGGAGAGTGTTTCCAGGGAAACAACCGATGAAACTGTGAGGACTCTCCTGTAGTTCACGCACACACACATGCACACATGCAGCGACAGATGCTGCAGATGTTGCTGCAGGCTAACCTGCAGGCCTCTCTCTGACCCACTTCACAAATCATGTTTTATCTCACAGAGACTCAGATTTACATTCAAGACACACAGTAACACTCACACACACACGTATACAGACAATCCTATTTTACAAACTCTAATCTGAGACAAACAGGAAGAAGGTAAACACATTATCCAGCTGCAACATGCAGGAAGACAGAACCTCTCCCGCTGTGTGAGCAGCTGAAAACATCATCAAGGCAACTGGAACTACACAACTACACAACCCGTCTCTGAAATACAACACATGCAGCCTGAAGTTATAATAAATTATATATATATGATCTTTATAATCATGACATTCAGCCACAGAACACTGAAACAGCTGCACTGTAAAATAAATCTAAACCTCAGAGCAGTGAGCCGATTCCTGTCAGACCTACAACCAGGCTTCAGAGTCCCTGCATCACCCACAGCAAACAGGAAGGAGAAAACAGTCTGCGGGGGGCGCCGTTTAGCTCAGTTGGTTTTTCACGCCCCCCCTTATGTACGAAGACTCAGTCCTTGTCGCAGCAGTCTGGGTACGAGTCCGACCAGTGGCCCTTTACTGCATATCCTTTGCCCCCCCCCCCCAAAACGTGAAATTTGTCAAGTCCAAGTTAAGTCAGTTGAGTCATTAAAAACAAAGCAACAGCCTAGGGTATTCTGGGCCCCTGGGGATCTAGGGCCCCCTTTGCCAGGTGGCAATCCAGCCCCCCCAATGAACCTGAACAAAGACCTCTTAGCTCCGTCACACGTGATGATCGTTGATAATGGTTGATACCGCCTGCAGGCTTATGACCCGAACTCAGAGCTGATAAACGGTTCAGAGCGCTGACCTCTCACCACCAGCTGACTTGTACCGTCCAATCATATTCATGCAGGTGAGATGCAGACAGGTGACTGTAACCTGATCCTGGAGCTGTAGAGGAATTGGTGATTTGGCGTCCGGTCCTCTTCTGACAAACTTGAAACTGATGAATCCACTGGAACGCTCCTTCAGCCGTCCACCGCCACACCAGGCGACCACGCTGCTGGCTGCGAGAGGTGGAGGCAGGAAGTGGGGATTGGTGTTTCAGTCCCGCGGCTTGATGGGAGCTGACAGCCGGAGGAAAAGCGCTGACGGTGAAGCTGCCTCGTCCTTCGTCCTGCTGACTGAAGCTCCTCGGCTCAGTTTGTTCTCTCGTTTTAAATCAGTGGTTTTCAAACTGGGAGTGGAGGCGTGAGGCGAGCGGGGCATCCGCTCAGAACTACTTCCTGCTCCTCAGAGGATGAACCTTTTAGATCTGAATGACTGAGTGATCTGTCCTCTGGCACCAGGAAAAGATCCAGGAAGCTGTTTGTAATGCAGCCTGTAGGGGGCGCTGATGTTCTGGTCTCTCTCTCTCTCTCTCTCTCTCTCTCTCTCTCTCGCAGTCTGGCGATGCATCCAGATAAGATCCAGGTGGCGACGGGTCAGGTGGGTAAAGACCCGTTCATCTGTATCTGGGACACCTACGCCATGCAGACCGTCTCCATCCTGAGGGACGTCCACACTCACGGAGTGGCCTGTCTGGCCTTCGACTCTGACGGACAGGTGAAACCACGCCCTCCTGTGATGATGTCACTGCGTCATGTGCGGCCTTAACACTGAATGAAGTGGCCAGGAAATATTTTGTCATTTCATTTTATAAATTCCTGTTTCTGTTTTGAAAATTGAGTTATTAGTATTTTATTATTCAAATCTTTCGATTGCTTTCTATTTTATATAACATGTTTATATTATTTATTATTTGGTTAACTTATGGACATGTCAAACAGATTTTGTGTATTTTGTTGTAAACTAAAGTTTTCTGAGTAGAAATGGCAGTTTCCTAACACAAAGAAACGAGGCAGACTAGATGATTTCTGAGCTTCCTGTGTGGAGGGATGAGCCCGTATCAAATCTTATTACTACGATTATTGTGTCCACAAATATCACGATAATCATCAAACTCAGATAAACACTTGAATCAGAGCTGAGATGTAGTTAAATAACTGAACAACATGTTTCATCAACGTGAACACAGCGAAACAGCAGAAACAGCATCTTGTTTAAAGACAGTCGATTGAAATGACTTTATATGAAGCGTCATGTGTTCATTGATGTTCGTGTTTTGATACTTGTTCATTTATGTTACAATAAATATCAAACATCTGCACATATAAACTCTGTATACTGGAAACACTTGAGGACCCGGGACGCTGCCCTGAGGAACTCCAACACTCACATGTCGACTGAAACTTAATGATGACCTGTCAGTCAGTTTACAAGTAATGGCATGGTCCAATCGTGTGGTTTGAGTGTTTCAGGTGGGCGGTGCTACACTGATGCAGCAGCTGCTCTTCCTGGGGTCCACATACAACAAGCAAAACATAACACATACAAGTAATACATGAATCTAAAAAGTATGTGTGCACGTTTCCGCAAACTGTCAAGCAAAATGCATCACAACACATCCACACAATTATACAACTTTCACCTACATCAATGTTTGAAGGGTTTTTTTAGTTGTCTTTTAAAACTGGGAGCCTCAACAATGAAAACTTTTCTTTTGTTTGGGGCCTCTCAACACAGTCAAACTAAAGGGATCTTACTCGAATCTTACATGGTTGTTTCTGTTTTCGTAGCGGCTGGCGTCGGTCGGTCTGGACGCCAAGAACACGTTGTGTGTTTGGGATTGGAGGAGAGGACGAGTCCTCGCCACGGCAACCGGACACTCAGACAGAGTACGACTCTTCGTTCATTCACACTGAAACGCATCGAAAGTCACGGCGTTTATCCCTCTCCTTGTTTTGAAGACACAATGTAAATAAAGTTTACTTTCTTTCTCTCCTACAGATCTTTGACGTGGCCTGGGATCCGGTTCAGTCCAGCCGTCTGGTCAGCTGTGGAGTCAAACACATCAAGGTGAGACAGGACGTCCGTTTTGTTCCAGAGACACGGTTTAACATTCAGGACGTGATGACTTCCTGTTGGCTTTTAAACAGACACCTTTCTGTATGATTACACACTGTAAACATCTCTATATGAATCAGTCATTTTTATGTGTGTCTGTAGTTCTGGACTCTGTGTGGAAACGCTTTGACCCCCAAGAGAGGGATTTTTGGGAAGACGGGCGACCTGCAGACCATCCTGTGTGTCTCTGCGGCCAAAGACGAGCTGACGTACTCTGGAGCTCTGAACGGAGACGTTTACGTGTGGAGAGGAACCACGCTGATCAGGACTGTGCAGGCTGCACACGGGGTATTTATACAGCATATATTTATACATATATAGATACAAACATAATTATACGCTCATAAACACTCGCTGTATAAACCAGGGAAGAAATGAAATGTTGATGTTGATGATGTCGCCAGTTCAGGGATGATCTGTCAGTGACTCAGTGGGCAGTAATATTAAGATGAACCCTGGTTAGCACTTAGACTGAGTTTACTGAAAACACAAACACTGTTGAAAGGCATCATGCAACATCACCTGAAACAAAATGTCACTGAGAGGACACGTACTCAGGTTAGAAAGTACTTTTAAAAATAGTTTTGGCCGCTGAGTCGCTTCGTATTACGCTACGAGAGAACCCAAAAATATATACGCAGTAACGTCATTTGAAGCCTCCAGTTTGGCATTTTTGCCGTCGCCTTGTTGGTTTTTTGGAACCAGACAAGAGGGCGGAGCTAGCTAGCTTGGTTAGCAAGGTGCATCTGTAATTCATGTTAACTGTGTATATTAGCCGGGATGCTAATTTTGGCTAGCGACAAACAGGCTTAAAACTTAAAAATGAGCAGTGACTGCTGATGAGCTTTTTCAGCGACGCTGGTTAAATGTTCACAGAGCAGCGGATACGAGTCGCCTCTATCCTGTCAGTCAGCTTGTAGCCCCGCCCTAAAGCCTCCCCTGCTTCCTGGTCTCTGTTCCTCTAAATGGGACCATAATTTACTAAATGAACATCATGCTGTGTTGAAGAAGACTTGAAACTAGAGACTGAGACCAGAAACTCATCAGGAAAGTGTTTACTGAGGGAATAAATCAGCTGACAAGTAGAAACATTTTCTCATAGACTTCTATACAATCACACTTCTTTCTGCATACGCTGGAGTCGCCCCCTGCTGGCTGCTGGAGAGGACGCAGGTTTAAGGCTTCACTTTTCAGATCCAGAGGTTCCCACTTGGTCAGAACTCAAATAACAAACGTGCAGAATCCATCAGAGAGAGTTTTTACAGCAGGGAACAGTCTAAGGGAGCATAAGTTACAACATGTTGATCCTCTGCAGGGACTGACGGTGTGTTTTCATGTGTTGTTCAGGCTGGGATCTTCAGCATGCACGCCTGTGAGGAGGGATTCGCCACCGGTGGACGAGATGGCTGCATCCGACTGTGGGACACCGACTTCAAACCCATCACCAAGATCGACCTGAGAGAGGCTGAGCAGGGATACAAAGGTCTGAACATCTGTTATCAGGTCCACCAGCTGACAGACCTGCAGTCAGACCTCTGTTTTAGTTTTCTGTTTCAAGAACAATTGGCTTCGTTTATGATGGGAAGCCAGTGAGGCATCAAGAAAAATAAAACACACAAGTCTTAAAACCATCAGGGTTTAAATGAAAACAGATAAAAACAGTTGAAAGTAAACTCATGCTCTGGCACTCTGATAAAAGTATGTCGGAGTCAATAAGGTCCAATCAGTTTGCCAATAACACTAGAGATAAAATATTTGAACTCTCCACTACTGTGACACTGAAATAATCTCTCGGCTGTCTGTCAGAAATATTCGTCAGACCAAAGCTGCTCTTCTTCAACAGTTCAACAAGAATCAATAATTCATTGATTAGCCTATCTTCATAAAATGTGAATCTCAAACTTTAATTTTATTCATTTATTATTCAGTCATTGATTCAAACTTCCCACCTTCTCAATTCTGAATACATTTTTCACATGAGCTGAATCTCATAGAACAAGACATTCGAAGAGGTCACCTTGGAAACTGAGATGGACATTTCGACAATCGAGTCATTGGATAATAATCATTAGTCGCAGCTCTACCGGGTCAAAGGATGGAGATGTGTTCAGTCAACTGGAAAAACAAACTGACCAAGAAAGTATTTCGCTTTGTAAATGTCACGTATGAACTGTGTAAAACATTTTGACTCCCGGTGTTGGGATGAGATCCTTTATGAGGTTTGGGTTTCAAAGACGTCAACATGGAACCAAAGCAAGTGTCTTACTGCTGCTAAATGTCAGCCATGTTTTCTGTTTCAGGTCTTTCGATCCGCAGTGTTTGCTGGAAGGCCGACCGGATCCTGGCGGGTACGCAGGACAGCGAGATCTTCGAGGTCATGGTCCGAGACCGCGACAAACCGGTTCTGTTGATGCAGAGTCACAGTGAGGGTGAGCTGTGGGCGCTTGACCTGCACCCCAAACAGCCGGTCGCCGTTACCGGGAGCGACGACCGCTCTGTCAGGTTGGTTTGACCCACCATCACCACGACCGCCGCCGCCAGGCTGCTGATCAGGCGCGGTCACCTCATACCCGTTTGTCTCTCCACTGTCTCTCAGGCTGTGGAGTCTCCCTGATCACACTCTGCTGGCTCGCTGTAACATGGAGGAATCTGTCCGCAGTGTTTCCTTCAACAACGACGGCTCTCAGCTTGCTCTGGGGATGAAGGACGGATCCTTCACAGTGCTGCGTGTCAGGTGACCACACTAATGCAGGGCCAAAGAATGGTGTTGCTACTAAACTGGTTCATCCATGTTATTACTGTGATCAAACACCAATATGTTATTACTTCAAATGAAAAGGTGGTTTGTTACTTGGCTAACCCAACAGCCACTTCGGTTAGCCGGGAAGTCGGCCCAAAAGTAGATCCCTGTGCCTGGGTTTGTGCTTTGCCATATTTATGATTGTGCTGTTGGCTGGACTCACGTTTTCCCAATCTCTAAAAGGTGACAAGTGCAAAGTTAGCATGCCCCATAGTCACAGTTATGAGAATAAAAGGTTGAAACTTAACTTGGCCGGTGACACTATGGAGGCTCTGTTGTTGAAATTATGTGACTGTTACACTTTAACTCTAAGTGCATGTTTACATCAAATGTGTTGTGAGATTTCTGACTTGGTTTTGGTTTTCAAAGACAGAGAAAGCTGACTTTCAACCTTGCTTCTTATACGCCAAAGACAGTAATGTTATTTTTTTCTGATTGGCTGAAGGAAGTTTAGGTTCATCTAATCACTTTTATGTAATCAGGAAAGACTCAATGAGAAAACAACACAACGCAACAACATAACCTATTGTTTGGGGAAATAATTTAAATATTAAAATAAAAGAGGACCATGGATTGAGCCCTGGCGAACTCCACACATCACATTGGTAAACTCTGCATTGTCGCAGAAGTTTGGGACCCGAGTTTGCTGCCAAAAACCCCTCTGGTTGGAAGAACAACATGACATTTGTTCAACACTTACAGGTTATTTAATTTGCAGAGGGACTTGACGTAACAAACCTTTTTCCTCAGGGACATGACGGAGGTCGTGCACATCAAGGACAGGAAGGAGGTGATCCATGAACTGAAGTTTTCACCAGATGGTTCCTTCCTGGCGGTGGGATCAAACGACGGGCTGGTGGACGTCTATGCCGTCGCCCAGCGGTACAAGAAGGTGGGGGAGTGCAGTCGCTCTGCCTCCTTCATCACCCACTTGGACTGGTCAGTCGACAGCCGCTTCCTGCAGACCAACGATGGCGCCGGAGAGCGGCTCTTCTATAGGATGCCAGGTACCGTATTAGTCTGAGGCCACAACAGACTAAAAATCTAACGGTTTACTGTGACATTACTGTTGCAGATTGACTGCGATTTTACTTTGGAACTGATTTGTCAAGTCTTCTGACTTGATTTGAGGCTCTCCTATCAAGACTGGGGCATTGACTTGGGACATACCTGTCTAACCTTGGGATGGTAGCTGACTTGGGCCTTGACTTGGGACGTACTTGTCTAACCTTGGTAGCTGACTTGGGCCTTGACTTGGGACGTACTTGTCTAACCTTGGGATGGTAGCTGACTTGGGCCTTGACTTGGGACGTACCTGTCTAACCTTGGGATGGTAGCTGACTTGGGCCTTGACTTGGGACGTACCTGTCTAACCTTGGGATGGTAACTGACTTGGGCCTTGACTTGGGACGTACTTGTCTAACCTTGGGATGGTAGCTGACTTGGGCCTTGACTTGGGACGTACTTGTCTAACCTTGGGATGGTAGCTGACTTGGGCCTTGACTTGGGACGTACCTGTCTAACCTTGGGATGGTAGCTGACTTGGGCCTTGACTTGGGACGTACCTGTCTAACCTTGGGATGGTAACTGACTTGGGCCTTGACTTGGGACGTACTTGTCTAACCTTGGGATGGTAGCTGACTTGGGCCTTGACTTGGGACGTACCGGTCTAGACTGGATTCTTGATGTGGGATTTACCTGTCTAGACTTTGGACTTGACTTGAGACTCGCATATCTAGACTAGGGCCTTGACTTGGGAAGGTACCTGACTTGGGACTTACCTGTCTAGACTGGGTAATTGACTTGGGATTTACAATTCCCCCAACACTCCTGACCCTCTGACCTTTTGATCTCCTTCTGTGTCCTGTAGCGGGTAAGCTGCTATCTAAAGAGGAGGCAAAGGGGATCCACTGGATGACATGGACAGGCGTTGTCGGGACGGAGGTGAACGGCATCTGGCCCAAATACTCCAACGTCACCAATGTGAACTCTGTGGACGCCAACTACAGCAGCGCCGTGCTGGTTACAGGAGACGACCTCGGCCTGGTCAAACTCTTCAAGTTCCCCTGCCCAAAGAAAGGTCGGTCTGACAAACATTCAGACGTATAGAACTTTTCCACTTTTCCAGGAACCTAATACCTTTTAAGCCACTTTTAGACTTTGTTTAGGCCACTGCCCCTGCTCTGGGGGACTTTCTGATGCATCTATAACTACAGGGGCAATCTTGATCCTTTTAATTTTACTTATTGATAATATGAAATACTTAAAAATCTGAAAGTTACAGCTAAACAGATTTCCTAAGGGATTCTGCAGGACTTGCTAACAGGACTCAGATAAAGTCACCCCAACCCCCTTCCGGTAGCGGTGCATCCTTCAGTCTCGCCTTGTAAATCCAGCTGTGGGACTAAACTGCTTCATGATCTCTTCTGGTTTTCCTGTGTAAACTCTACGTCTTTTTCATCAAACAGGAGCCAAATTCAAGAAGTACATCGGTCACTCTGCCCATGTGACAAATGTTCGCTGGTCCAACGACCTGCAATGGGTCGTCAGCACCGGTGGTGCCGACCATGCTGTCTTCCAGTGGAGGTTTCTTCCCGAGGGCGTCATGAACGGCGTCCTGGAGCCTCTCCTCCAAGGTAATACTAATATTTACTACTTAAGCATTTATCCCAGATAACGCCTGCCCACTGCTGGCCAACATCCTGCCCTACAATGACGAGATGATTTCATCCAGCTCATTCTCAGTGTGGGCCAGCCACATCTGGGCCCTCCTAACACCAGACTGGAATCCCTGAAGTTATCAACTGCAACCGGCACGCCGTTTGTAAATCTGCAGTATTTGTCATCCATAAATTAACTTATAGCTCTAAAACCCCCACCAACACGTTATTGTTATCCATAACTGAAAATCTGTAAATGACTCTTTAAATAACCAAACAACTTTCTGTAAATAACAAACCATTTCTTTTATTAAATTGTGAAGGACCATGTTTGTTATCCCTAAATCACCACCTGTACATGTCATCATCAGTTACTCATCATTTGTTATCATTATTCATCAGGTTCAGTTCATATCAGGTTTTCCGTGTCGATATGTTTCCTGGATTTCTGATTTGAGTTAAAAAACAGTGTTTTGTTAATAAACTTTTTTACTGGCTGGTGTCTTCAGAGGGTTACGCTGACTCCAACAGTGGAGAGTCGGACTCAGATGTCTCGGACGTCCCGGAGCTCGACTCGGACATCGAACAGGAAGCTCAGACCAGCTACGAGCGTCAGGTGACCAGAAAACAAACCAGTGACATGCTGCACCTGTCTGCCCAGCTTGTTCTCATTCCCAGGTCGTCACATATGGATGTTTTGTCACGTCCTCCTGCATCTGGTACCAACGCACGTGGCGTCCTTTAGCGCATTTTGATGCTAAAAGTATTACTATATATAACCAAAAAAGACTGAGTAAGGAGGTGATTGGGTGGTTCGTTTCCCGTGTGGTGTTAACCACTACTTTTATTTTGAAAGTCTAACCGGACGTTGTATATTTCTTCTTGACTGCGGACATGTACAAAAATAATGCTAAATGTTACCCAGGGTGTTAAAAAGCGACGCCAGGGGGTGTGACAAAGCGTCCATATGTGATGCTCTGGGATGAGAACAGGTTGGTCTGTCTGACTCACCTGTCTCTGTGTGCAGGTGTACAAGGAGGACCTGCCTCAGCTGAGGAAGAAGCTGATTGGTTCCCTGAAGCGGCAGAAAGCTCCGGAGGAGGGGCTTCGTCTGCAGTTTGTTCACGGGTAACAGATTAAAAGCTAAACTAGACAGAGTGAAGGATTGTTCTGATGTCATCATCTTTGTTACTACATGTGATCACATGTTTATTGATCCACTAAATTTAAATAGTTTTAGCTGAACAGATACTACAACATGGGAACTTATAGAAATCAGTACCTGGGCAGAATCACTGATGACGATACAGATACATTATGTAAAATAAGATGTGGTAGAGTCAAAGCAACAGTTATGCCAACTGGTTTTGTTTTCATAAGAAACTTGTTTTACGTCTATGTTGACAAATAATGAGGCAAACTGTTTTCTCAAAATGAGACTTATGTTTGAGTTCAGTGCTTTTACATGATCATAAATAATTATTAATTAATAACAACAATATGTAATATCAAAGCTAAAATATTATATATAAATATATGTACTCTAAATGTGAGACACAGTTAAATAGATTCTATAGAAATGAAAGACAATAGAATGATAGAGTTGCAGTAGTTTTTCTGAATCCTTAGTTTGTATGTTATTAATGTAATTATTTCTACTTTATGTTCTTATTATTTAATTTCTATGTCTTATAAAATGAACGTCAACTTAGAAAAATGTGTTACGATGACTTAAAATGAAATGAAATGAAAAATGAAAAAAAGTTATATGTGATATATGTCAGTATGTTTTACATATAAAGTCGAGACCACAACATAACTGTCTTCAGAAAAGACAGTTGGTCCTCTGTACAGCAGGACGATGAAGAGCTATGATTCTCTGCTTGTGCTCTTCTGTATGAAGTGACCAATAGTGACCTTTATTGTGGCGGTCTTGTCTCCTGTTTGCGCAGGTATCGAGGCTTTGACTGTCGTAACAACCTGTTCTACAGTCAGGCAGGGGAGGTGGTGTACCATGTGGCCGCCGTTGCCGTCGTTTACAACCGGCTGCAGCACAGTCAGAGGTTTTACCTCGGCCACGACGACGACATCCTCAGCCTCACCGTGCACCCGCTCAAAGACTACGTGGCCTCTGCACAGGTACGCCCTGCCAATCAGAGGGCGGCATGTCACTGTCACACTGACTGAGAGCGTTTCTGATTGGCTGTCTGTGTGTTCAGGTGGGCAGAGACCCGGCCGTCCACATCTGGGACATCCAGACTCTGAAGTGTCTGTCGCTGCTGAAGGGACACCACAGCAAAGGAGTGTGTGCCCTGGAGTTCACAGGTACACCCGCTGCAAAGTGCACCATGTCCAATTATTACCTGAGTAGCAATTTTTTATCCCTGAAACACCATATTTAATCTTTAAATCACAATTTTGTATCCCTGAATCAAGACCTGTAAAACACAATTCATCTGGAAAGCTTAAATCTCCTTTTGTTATCCCTTTGAGACCATTTGTTGTCCCTAAATCACCACGTCTTCTTAAGTCACCCTCATCCTTAAATCATCCTTAATGTTACAATTTAAATGACAACCTTTAATCCCTAAATCACAATTTGTTATACCTGAACCATCACCACTAGTTCCTAATTTATCACTTACATACATTAAATAACTATTTGTTATCCCTTTACTGTTTACATCACCTTTACTGTCTGTACCTCTGTATGTGTATATTGTGAAGGCTGCCTCCCTCCTCTCTCTCTCTCTCTCTCCCTCTCTCTCTCTCTCTCTCTCTCTCTCCCTCCCCCCAACCGGTGGAGGCAGATGGCCGCCCACCCTGAACCATGGTTCTGCTCGAGGTTTCTGCCTCTTAAAGGAAGTTTTTCCTTGCCTCTGTCGCCTAGTGCTGCTCTTGGTGGGAACTGTTGGGCTTCTGTAAATATCATCACAGAGTACGGTCTAGACCTGCTCTTTTATGAAAAGCGCTGTGAGATAACTGTTGTTGTGATTTGGCGCTATATAAATAAAATTTAATGGAATTGAATTGAATCCCTGAATCCTCACATGTAAACCATAAATCACATCTAAACTTTTGTAAATACTTAATCACTATTTGTTATCCCTACAGCACAGCCTGTAAACCTTAAATAATTACCTGAAGACCATATATCATCTGTTTCAAACCTTTTATAAGCACTAAATTACAATTTGTTATCCCTAAAGCACTATTTGTGAACACTGATCATGAAGTTTTCTCAAATTCTGCTTGTAGAAAGCACCTGGGAGATGAATGACTGTGTGAGGTGATATGTTTTGTAAATTCAGCTTCTGCTGTCTCATGTCTCTCTGTCTCAGCGGACGGGAAGAGTTTGATCTCTGTGGGAATCGATGAATTTCACTCGATCGTCATCTGGGACTGGAAGAAAGGCGAGAGACTGGCCAAGGCCAGGTAACTTTGATCTGCTGAAGAAATTCTCCCTAAATTAGCTTTTCCTGTCTCATCATTTTAAAGTGATCGTAGTTTGTGTAGCAGTTTAAGATTCTTCAGTCTTTAATGTATTTTGTTGTGTAAGTCTGCAATAAGAATATTTAAAGATTCAGTCTTCAGGAGGAACCAATGGGCTCACAGCTGAGAGCCACAGACAGGAAGTCAGACCATGTAGACTAACAGCAGGCTGGTCCTGTAACCTGTAACCTGTCTGTCCTGCAGGGGCCACAAAGACAAAATCTTCGTGGTGAAGAGTAACCCGTTCAGGATGGACAAACTGGTGACTGTCGGCATGAAACACATAAAGTTCTGGCAACATTCAGGTACGCTCGCTTTCCTCTTCCTGTATCCTTCATACCTGAAACACACCTCCGTCCTCAGGTCAGTGATGTTCAGAAGGCCACAGAGAGAAAAACTACCGTGGGATTATCATGTTGTCATCATTATTTTTTCTGTGCAGAGGAAGAAGCCACCTGTCGCTTTTATTTTGATGGACAGCTTTAGATAACAGGAAGAGGCGGGGTTCTCCGAGCACACTTACTCATCTCTGACATATTCTGCTGGCTTAAACTTTAGATTTGTAAACCCGAACACCTGACCAGCAGACAGACTCAGTCATGTCATGTGGTAAACTTCTGTTTTTTCTCTTTGAAGCAGACTGAGGATAAACTTTACTTCACTATCTCTCAAAATAATGGTTTTATGTTGAGTTGGTAAAAAATATCATGTAATTACAGGATTTACACATATTTTCACAGAATAGATATTGTAAAGTCTCTTGGAGGCAAAACTAATTTCTTTTAAGCTCTCTGTCGTTCGTCTGTCAGACTGAAACTCCAGCAGCTGTTGGATGGATTCATGTTCCCACACTTTTTCTCTGTATGAATAAATGATCTCATGAAAAACACCGTCAGACGCTCCCTTCACTCCTCCGGCAGGCGGCGGTCTGACGTTTAAACGGGGGATTTTCGGGAACCTGGGGAAGCAGGAGACGATGATGTCGGCGTGTTATGGCCGATCGGAGGACCTGGTGTTCTCCGGAGCCACCAACGGAGACGTTTACATCTGGAGAGACACGACGCTCATCAAGACCATCAAAGCCCACGACGGCCCCGTGTTCGCCATGTGCTCCCTGGACAAGGTAACACCTGGAACACCTGACAGACCATCAGTCATCTGCACCTGTTTATACTCATTATTTAAAGAAGCCGATCAGGAGGCAGATACTCAGAATTTAACATGATTAAATCATATGAGATGTTAAATGCTAATTTTACAAGAAAAAGTCACAATTTAATTAGAAAAGTCCTAATATTATAATATTGTTTAAACTTTATTATTTAAAATTTTCGAATTCTGGGAATAGTAATCTTACAAGTTAGTTGTAATTTTGACAAAAAGTCATAGTTTTAAGGCATAAAGTTGTAATTTTGATAGAAAAAAGTTTCATATTACAATAAAGCTGTAACATAAAGTTGCAATACAACTTTACTTTCATAAAATACAACTGATTATTTTCAAAATCTCATTTTCCCCTCTGAACTCTGAACATATAAAAATAAAAGCGATGATCAGTGTGTCTGCTGTTTTGTGTTTCTCGTGATGCGTTCACTGTCCAGGGTTTTGTGACGGGAGGGAAGGACGGCGTGGTGGAGCTCTGGGACGACATGTTTGAGAGATGTCTGAAGACGTACGCCATCAAGAGAGCCGCTCTCTCTCCGTCATCTAAAGGTTCTACTTCTTTTAAAATGTGTTGATTGTTCTTTCTGATTGGTCTTATCATGAAAACGTAATGATCCATGCGATTTTGATTTGTTTTTTTATTAAAATATTTTGTACCGTGCAAATAACACTTACAGCCTACGCTTGTACTGTGCATGTTGTCTGTTTCCCGCCGCCACAGTCTCTTTTAACTCCCGTGTTACAGTCAGTAACAGTCCCAGCTCGTTATTGGTCCATGCAAAATAAAATCTGGTCTGATTCTTCGTCTGCAGAACTTTATTCTTTCGCCAAATCTTCTGTAACTACAGAACAGATCATCTGATTCATGTTTACACCGGCTCGCACACGCCCAGTGTATCTGAACGGCCACTAGATGCGTTTTCAGTTGTTAATACAGACAGAGATCAACTCTGATACGCTGCTAAAACGCTGCTGTGGACGGAGATCGTATTCGTTTTAATTCTCCATTTTTAAACTAAAACGGAGCAGTGTGGACGGGGCCAAAGACTAAAGCCTCCACAGGGGGGCAGCAGAGAGCTGAAGGGAGGCAAAGCAACTGCAGGAGGTGAATCTGAGTCAAACATCCCACAGAGGGATTAAAAGATCTTTAGAAACTGTAGCTCATAAATACAAAATTCAGTTTTTCCAACGCCACATCTCTTCCTCTGTGGTGTTTCTGGATCAGGTCTGCTGCTGGAGGACAACCCGTCGATCAGAGCCATCACTCTGGGTCACGGTCACATCCTGCTGGGAACAAAGAACGGAGAAATCCTCGAGATCGACAAGAGCGGACCCATGACGCTGCTGGTTCAGGTCAGACACAGCGTGTCAGACGCTCACACTAGAAATGTTTGAGCACGGTGAACACTCGAGGTAGAACAGAGACAATGTGGCAGGTGCGGAGAATCGGAAACACAAAAAGTAAATGAAACACGACCCGGCGTTAAGAACAACATGTCAAACTAAATGTCTGTGATGGATTTTCTGTCTGCAGGACGCTTCCAGTCTGCAAGGTCTCATGTTGAGCTCTTTTCTTTTCTTGCTGTATTAAACGTTAGTCGCTGTGTGTTGCGTTCAGGGTCACATGGAGGGCGAGGTGTGGGGTTTGGCGGCTCATCCTCTACTTCCTATTTGCGCCACCGTCAGCGACGACAAAACTCTGAGGATCTGGGAGCTGTCGGCCAATCACCGCATGGTCGCCGTCCGCAAACTCAAGAAGGGTGAGACGGAGGACACAGATCGTTTTACACACCATAATACTGCATGATGATCCTGGGGTGTGTGTCTTACCTGTGTTACCTGTCACCTGTCAGGTGGGCGGTGCTGTGCCTTCTCTCCTGACGGTAAAGCTCTGGCCGTCGGCCTGAATGACGGCAGCTTCCTGGTGGTGAACGCCGACACGCTGGAGGACATGGTGACCTTCCACCACCGCAGGGAGCTCATCTCAGACATACGATTCTCCCAAGGTACCTGAACTCACCGCACAGGTGTGACAGAAGGTGAAGATGGTAGGTAACAGCTGTGTCTGTTCCAGATGCAGGGAAGTACCTGGCCGTGGCGTCCCATGATTCCTTTGTGGACATTTACAACGTTCTGACCAGTAAGAGAGTCGGCATCTGTAAAGGAGCCGGCAGCTACGTCACACACGTTGACTGGGACTCCAGAGGTGAGCGCACCTGTGCTGCTACTCTAACACGCTAACGGTTAGCAGTACAGGCTAACTGTGTAGCTGCAGGGATTAGAAACTTACAGTTTGAACTGTCAAGAAGTTCACATATTCATCTTTTTTTATGTAGCGCCACCATCAGGTACCTCTGTCCAACACTGCTGTTCACAAGATACATTTAAAGCTAATGACTGAATTAAATGCTAACGTGTACCAGCAGGGGGCGACATAAACCTGCGTCCTCTCCAGCAGCCAGCAGGGGGCGACATAAACCTGCGTCCTCTATAACGGCCAGCAGGGGGCGACTTAAACCTGCGTCCTCTATAACGGCCAGCAGGGGGCGACTTAAACCTGCGTCCTCTATAACGGCCAGCAGGGGGCGACTTAAACCTGCGTCCTCTATAACGGCCAGCAGGGGGCGACTTAAACCTGCGTCCTCTCCAGCGGCCAGCAGGGGGCGACTTAAACCTGCGTCCTCTCCAGCAGCCAGCAGGGGGCGACTTAAACCTGCGTCCTCTCTAGCGGCCAGCAGGGGGCGACTTAAACCTGCATCCTCTCTAGCGGCCAGCAGGGGGCGACTTAAACCTGCATCCTCTCTAGCAGCCAGCAGGGGGCGACTTAAACCTGCGTCCTCTCCAGCGGCCAGCAGGGGGCGACTTAAACCTGCGTCCTCTCCAGCGGCCAGCAGGGGGCGACTTAAACCTGCGTCCTCTCCAGCGGCCAGCAGGGGGCGACTTAAACCTGCGTCCTCTCCAGCGGCCAGCAGGGGGCGACTTAAACCTGCGTCCTCTCCAGCGGCCAGCAGGGGGCGACTTAAACCTGCGTCCTCTCCAGCGGCCAGCAGGGGGCGACTTAAACCTGCGTCCTCTCCAGCGGCCAGCAGGGGGCGACTTAAACCTGCGTCCTCTCCAGCGGCCAGCAGGGGGCGACTTAAACCTGCGTCCTCTCTAGCGGCCAGCAGGGGGTGACTTAAACCTGCGTCCTCTCTAGCGGCCAGCAGGGGGCGACTTAAACCTGCGTCCTCTCCAGCGGCCAGCAGGGGGCGACTTAAACCTGCGTCCTCTCCAGCGGCCAGCAGGGGGCGACTTAAACCTGCGTCCTCTCTTGCAGCCAGCAGGGGGCGACTTAAACCTGCGTCCTCTCCAGCGGCCAGCAGGGGGCGACTTAAACCTGCGTCCTCTCTAGCGGCCAGCAGGGGGCGACTTAAACCTGCGTCCTCTCTAGCGGCCAGCAGGGGGCGACTTAAACCGGCGTCCTCTCCAGCGGCCAGCAGGGGGCGACTTAAACCTGCGTCCTCTCTAGCGGCCAGCAGGGGGCGACTTAAACCTGCGTCCTCTCCAGCAGCCAGCAGGGGGCGACTTAAACCTGCGTCCTCTCTAGCGGCCAGCAGGGGGCGCCTTAAACCTGCGTCCCCTCTAGCGGCCAGCAGGGGGCGACTCCACTGGATTTTAGTCTATGAGTCACTGATAAAATGTTTTTACTTGTCAGCTGATTTATTCCCTCAGTAAACACTTTCCTGATGAGTTTCTGGTCTCAGTCGCTAGTTTCAAGTCTTCTTCAACACAGCATGATGTTCATTTAGTAAATTATGGTCCCATTTAGAGGAACAGAGACCAGGAAGCAGGGGAGGCTTTAGGGCGGGGCTACAAGCTGATTGATAACCTGTCAATCAGGATAGAGGCGACTCGTATCCGCTGCTCTGTGAACATTTAACCAGCTGAAAAAGCTTCTATACAATCAGCGTTTTTGAGGAGTTCCTAGTACAGTGGATCGCAGCGTACCGTCCTTATTTAATTCAGTTCAACTTTACTGCCATTATTATAATGTGTTGGCACATACGTAACAAAACGGAGGTCAGTGGCTTCCACAAGTCATCATATCTGAGCATGTCAGCATATTACGCACATATCAATGCTAAGTATTACTTACATTTTTGTGGACAGGTAAACTGCTGCAGGTGAACACTGGAGCTAAAGAGCAGCTGTTCTTTGAGGCTCCGCGAGGACGCAAACAGAACATCAGCGTGGCCGAGGTTCGTCTGCGTTTCCTGTAAATTGTCTGGATCATCAGGGCGTTTCCCTTTCTGCCTATAGACTCATGTTTCTGTGTTCCCAGTTCGAGAAGCTGGACTGGGCCAGCTGGACGTCTGTTCTGGGTCCAACCTGTGAGGGAATATGGCCGACGCTCAGCTTCGTCAACGCCGCCTCGCTCACCAAAGATCGCAAACTGCTCGCCACCGGAGACGACTTCGGCTTCCTCAAACTGTTCAGCTTCCCGTCCAGGGTCAGTCGGTCTGTCAGGGAAACGTGGCGTTCACGAGATTCTATAAAGCTAAAATTAACAAAAAGTTGTTGGTGCTTCTGCATTATTATCATTATATGTGCAGCCATTTAAGAGGGAACATCAGATCAGAACAAAAGGAAGTTAAACCTGCTGCGAGACAGTCTGTCTGTCTGGTTTTTATTTTTCCCTTTTTGGCTGTTTGTGTTTTTGCTCATGTCATTTTTTGATTAAATTTCTTGCTTACTTGAGACTTCGTACTTTAATCTCTAATCATGTTTCTTCTCATTTTGACTTTTCTCTCTTCGGCTGAACAAACCGACTTCAGGGCCAGTTTGCCAAGTTTAAGAAGTACGTGGGTCACAGCACCAACGTGACCAACGTCCGCTGGTCTAATGACGACTCCGTGCTGCTGTCGGTGGGCGGGGCCGACACGGCGCTGATGATCTGGAGCCGAGAGCCGCCGGGTCACAAAGAGAGCAAAGCTGTGGACAGCGAGGAGTCGGACGACGACACAGAGGAGGACGGAGGTAACGCAGCTGGGCTTTTATTCTGAAGTGACGACCTTCTCATTCACGTCAGTACGGCGTCAGGTGGACGTTAGAGGAGCGGCAGAGGCTGCCGACTGGTCCAAAAGTCATGAAACCAAGACCAGGCCTTGGTTTGTATAAAGTGTGTTCAGTCTGTCTGTACTCAGAGCGGACTTGTTGTGTTTTCAGGGTACGACAGCGACGTGGCACGGGAGAAGGTGGTGGACTACATCACCAAGATCTACTCTGCCAGCATCAGGAACATGTCAGGAACCAGACCTCACCTGCAGCTCAAGGAGCCTCCGGTGGAGGAGAGGTACCGGATCGGATAACGACACACTCACATAGAGACGCACTGTGTTTTACTGATGTTGTCTGGACTGATCCTGGACTCGTTTCCCGCTCAGGCCTCCCGTGAGTCGAGCTGCACCGCTGCCTGACAAGCTGCTGAGGAACAATGTGACCAAGAAGAAGAAAGTGGTGGAGGTCAGTACGAGCCTCCACCATCAAGACCAATTTATTCTGCAGTGATTGGTCGGCCTGGTAGCCTTTCCTCCAAGGAAGTGCTTTGAAGCCAAATTTACTAGCGGCCAAACATTTTCCCAAAAGTCCTTTGGTCCCAGAATCTACCTTTCATGGAACCAAAAGGTTCCTTCAGCCCGTTGTTGTGTGTTTCCACCGCGCTCTAAAGAATTAACCAGCTGATTTATGTTCTTACTCTGTCGTACGTCGTACAGAGCGACGGGGTTTCAGTATTTAGTAGCGTCACCATCAATGAGCCAAACGTAGATCTGAACATCAGATCTGATGAACATATTGACAGAGACGTTTCTTTAGGATGAAGCTGCTTTACTCAGTGTCTTTAATGTTTTAATGAGCGGGTCTGTTTGCTTTGGGTCTCTGGGTAAATTCGGCTCCCTGAACAGTCATCAGCTGTTAGCTGTAAACACGCCGCAGGACTCGCTGCTGCTTCAGAGCTGTAACCGTAACGCAGACATACGATCTCAGGCCGGCATCGCCGAGTCTTGGGTGGTTGATGTATTGGTTGAGTCACCGGTGGAAAAGAGACGAGCAGTAGCAGCAAGGCGGATTCAAAACACCCACAATGCACAACTCAAAGCGAGCAGCCTCAACTCGACCAATCAGAAACGCACTACAAAGCAAACTCCCACAAAGTTCCAGTACTTTTCCGAGGGACATTTGTGGCGGTAAACAAAAGTCCCTGAAACCTAATTTAGAGTAGACCCTGGAGCCTGTGATGGAAGCGCTGCGAGTTCCTCTAAAGGTTCCCGGTTCCGGGGGAAAGTCAGCTCAGCTGCAAAAGTCAAAGCAGTGGAACATAGAAACCCCGCCGCCAACGTTTAATTTCAGAGACACCAATGCACCAAGTGGAAATGCTCAGGACGGCTTTCCAGCTGCTGTGTTTGCTTTTCAGGAGCTGCTGCTGGAGCACGTCTTCGGCTACCGAGGCTTCGACTGTCGCAACAACCTGCACTACCTCAACGACGGCGCTGACATCATCTTCCACACCGCCGCCGCCGTGGTCATCCAGAACCTGTCCTCCGGTCAGTCCAACTCTCGGCTTCTGATTTCAACTGTCGGTGTTGTTGTTTGATGACGATGGCGTATCACTTCCTGCTTCCTGTCCTGACAGGAACCCAGAGTTTCTACCTGGAGCACACCGACGACATCCTCTGTCTGACTGTCAATCAGCACCCGAAGTACCAAAACATCATCGCCACGGGACAAATCGGTGAGCGGCTCTGTCAGACGGGCCTTTAACGTCCGACTGAAGTCAAACTGTGACCTCTGTAGCTCCAAACAAACGTGCACCGCTAACGGCTAATCAGGAAGATATCAATTAGAAAATCACTTGTTAACAGGGTGCAAAGGAACCTCAAGAAAGGCAACAAACAAAGAGCAACAAGGCAAAACTATTTGGATTATTATATTAAAGCTTTGTTTTAATTAAGAACAGATTCTGGCAGAAGACAAAGGTGTAGCTCCCCTCCAGTTTAAATCTCAAACACAAGGCGTTCCTTTGGTTACAGGCATTTATTCCGACATTCACGTCGTCAAGCACGCCGTGAGAACTAGACAAAATAAAATACACAAATCATAAAATGAGTCTAATAAAATACAAAGCATTCTCATAGAGAATAATCATTAAATAAATCTTTCACAAACACAAAATAGCTTACAAACCCTCCCTTTGCAGGCTAGAAGCTGTTAAGCTTGCAGATGGACGATGCTATCACGTTATTATCACGTGAAACTCTGCTAATATATTAGCTGTAGTTAGCCTAACCCTAAACAACAGCACACAGTATTTGGTAATAACCTGATATTAGTGAGGGATGGAAGGTTCATGATCCACAATATGATATCAGCGTAACACCTTCAAAATCTAATGTACGTTCTTGGAAATCAGAATTGCTCCCTTATGTTCCAAACAGACCCTTTGGTTTCCTTGTAGACTTCACAGATTATATGTCTGGAAACAGCTGCGGTGGTTCCAGCGCTGCTAAATGCTAAACTACATGTTTCTGTCTCACGTCGTGGGAATATTGTCTACCTGCACAACGTACTGTGACGTACTATCTCCAAAGTGTCAGCTGCTCAGTAACGTCGTCTTCACCTCCAACCGTAGTGATCCTGAAGTTAGTTACTTCACTTTTCAGTTAGCGTTGTTTACCATTCCTTTTTGTATATCAGGTCACCTCAGGGTCTTAGATAGCCGTTAGCGGCGTTGATGGTGACGATGATAAGAACACATGTGGCATGTCCTCAGACCTAAACAACAAAAGAGATTAATTGTCACGTGTCCCAAAACTGTCCCTTTGGGACACGTGACAATATGCTTGTCCAGGACAGACCTTAAATACACGACTTTAGTCACGTGACATTTAACAGGTGGTAAACATAAAATGAAACATAAACATAAAGTGAAACGGTGATAGTTTGGTCAGGTTTAGGAAAACATGGTGGTTCGAGTCTCCACCGACCTCAAAATGTACAGAATTATAAGTGACGTTAAAGGTCCTGTTTCCTGGGCGACGGACTCTGACCTTTCAGCGTGGTTGTAATATTGATCACCTTGTTGCCCTCATGCATGACCGGCTGCCCATTGCGCTTCTTTTCTTTTCCACTGCTTCCTCATTGTCACCGCCTCACCTCATCACCAGGTGACATCACTGACCTGCCAGGTAAGACTCACCTTGCTGCTGTCACTCGCCACTGATCCATTCACACACATGATTCTGTTTACGTTGCCGTGGAGAACACGGTGTTTAACCTGTCGCTGTCGTTGGCTCTCGCCGTGTAGAGGCTGAAGTGTCCGGTGAGTATCAGGTCTGGTCTAGTTGTCCTGTCTGTAGCTCGACCCCCTAGCCACTCTGTCTGCCAGAGACCATGTCTACACTAACGTGGATTCAGATGAAAACACTGTGTGCGATCCGATCGCACTAAACCATCGTTTGAACCTCTGAAAACTGGACTTTTCAAAACAAACTTCCTGTGAGCTCTTATTCAGGACCCCCCTCTACAAACCCTTCATCCTGCCAGGGACGTTACACTGAAAGAGAGTCATGTCATATTGCTAAGCATTTCCTCTGTCCTCCCACTCTGTCTGTCTGCGTGGATAGATTTCAGATGGCGGGTAGCACACCTGTAGGGTTCAGGCCGATCGCTGCCGCCCAATCAAACTACAGATGTCACCGGGTGGGAGACGCATCAGTAACCGCTTGCTGGATGGAAAAACCTTTAATCAGAGATCACAGATGACCTTTGAAGTTGGCTGTGGCTACTGCTCCTGATGTTTGGCTCCTCACCAGGTGGTGGTCCTAAGGAATCACTTTCTTTCACAAAAGCAAATCTTAACTGGATGTCCGCTTACGAGCTTTTTCAGCAGCTATAAAACTTTGTTTCACAGTTTTCATTGGAAAGATTTTGCCTAGTTGTCATGGTCATGACTGAGATCTAGTTGAGTGATTGGACCTTGAGTTGTCCAGAACGTTCCCTCTCCAGCCACCATTTCGAAAGGAACCTTTTTCCAGTTGTTTTCATGCTAAAGTTTGGACGCAGGTTGTAGAAAACAATCTGAAAACATGGAAGGCCTTTGGTAAACAGTGTTTTCTAGTGTCTCCATGTTCGTGTGGGCATGGCCGTAGAGAAACTAAAGCAAGCCGGACTAAGAACAAAGCCTTGCTTAGCGCCTCGTATCAGCATGTTGGACTAGCCGAGCTAGCCTGGGTGGTTACTAAGTGGTGTCTGTACTGTTTGTGGTAAGACTGTGATTCAGAGACTTTTCCTGCACACCAGTTCTTGTAGAAGCTAGACCTGGATTCATTGCATTGATGCAGAGGACATGAAGGGCATGACTGTTCTTTCTCTGCTCGACAGACTGGAGTGATCTTGTTTTATTAACCCTCTGCAGCCATGATCACATGGGACTTTCTGTCCCACACTTTGGTCCAGAGCCGGACATCTACAGACAGATGGCCGTAACATTTACTGTAGATATTCATAGTCCCCAGAGGATGAATCACAGTGACGTAGATGGCAAGACATGACGGCGAGAGGTAAACTATTCCAGGAGCTTCAGTGTAATTTGGACTGACTGATCAGATTAATCAGATGGATGCTGAATAGGGATTAAGGAGGTTGGAAATATAAGATTGTGCCAGTCTTAAACTACGTGTAGCCTAGGAAAATTGGTTGAACCAGACTTTTTTAGCTCTCCGCGTTTGACATCCTCGGGACAACATAAAAGAAATTTAAGAAGAACTACAGATTGAGATGTTGTGTGATGTTGTATTTTCTAACACAGACCTCAGTGGAAACATACAGTGCAGATACAGTAGGGTCTGAAATGGATCCTTGGGGTGCGCCCCAAGAGAAAGGAGCAGAAGATCGTGAACCCTTTTCAGTTACAACTGATACTGATCTGTGGCTATTTTAAACTTTGCGACCTTTTGTTTGGATTTGATTTCTTTTGCAACAACTCAAATTCAATGTCCTAAAACACGACCCGTCTGGACGTTCAGATGAAAGGAAGCCTATGTGATCATGGCCACAGGTGTGAAGTGTTTGCTGTGAGTGTGTGGATGCAGGATGGACTGAGCATCCTGAAGAATGAGCAGTTTAGATTTTCCCAACTCTGTAGTTATTAATTAATTCTGCTCTGTTGAATCTGCATGTCAGCACCAATGAACAGTATGGAAGTAGGACGTCTAATCACTGGTCCCCTACCTGCCTATCTCCCCCTTTGACTCCTGAATCTTAGCCCGTTCTCCCTGAGAACTACTCAGCATCTCCACCCACCTCCTCTGGTTCCGTTCATCGTTTATTTGTGTCTTGCTTCCTTGATTCCACTGCTCTTTGGCTCCTTGGTTCTCCGGTTCCTTGGTCCATCAACTCATTGATCCAATGATTCTGTGTTTCTATTGTCCTGCTGTTCCTCTGTTATCTGGTTCCTTGGCTCCCTTGCTATCTTAGGTCCTTGATTCCTTATGTCCCCCAGGTCCTTGTCTGCTCATTACCTTTGAGTTTTGGCCCCTTGGTTGGTTAAAGCTTTGCCCTGCATGTTGGTTCCACAGTTCCTGGCAACCTCTGTTCATTTGCTCCTTGATACAATGGTTCTTAGGTTCCTAAGCCCTATGGTTCCAGAATGACCTTAGGTCCTTGGTTCTAAAGTTTCTTTGATCCTTAGCTGCTGGGTTGGTTCTGTGGTTTCTCAGTTCTTTGGTTCCTACGTTTATGGTCTCTTCTCCCAGGCCTTGCTCCATCCATCCATGTGTGGGATGCAATGACCAAGCAGACGCTGTCCATCCTCCGCTGTTCCCATGCTAAAGGTGTCGGCTACGTCAACTTCAGCGCTACAGGAAAGCTGCTGTTGTCTGTGGGGGTGGAGCCTGAACACACCATCACAGTGTGGAGGTGGCAGGAAGGTACAAACGTTTATCTTATAATCTTAAATCCCCTGAAACTGTGCGATTAATAAAAAATGCAAATTAAGTATTGACTCTCACAATAAAGAACAAGAGGCAGTAGGGTTCTCTAAGGATGGGGTTTTGAATGAGGTACCTTTGTGCAGTAGTATGATTTTAGCTTTTAGGTATTTAGTTGATGACAACAGGCCACGAGTGTGATTAGAGTACCTGAGGAAGTTAAGGATGCAAACAGAGTTTATTAATATACCATAGATATCTTGGGTATCTTGAGGGAAAGTGACCTTTGACCTCTGGCAGGTACCAAGGTAACCAGTAAAGGCGGACACGCTGAGCGGATCTTTGTGGTCGAGTTCAGACCGGACTCTGACACCCAGTTTGTGTCAGTGGGAATCAAACACATCAAGTTCTGGACTTTGGTCGGAGGTTCGCTCGTGTACAAGAAAGGAGTGATCGGCTCGGTGGAGGACGGCCGCATGCAGACCATGCTGTCCGTCGCCTTTGGTGCTGTAAGATAAAAACCTGTAGTTTTTAAAACTCACCTTTTAAAATAAAATCTTATTAATTTGTAGTAAGTCAGCTTTGGTTTCCTCCAGAACAACCTGACGTTCACCGGCGCTATAAACGGAGACGTGTACGTATGGAGGGAGCACTTCCTGGTACGAGTGGTGGCGAAGGCGCACAGCGGTCCGGTCTTCACCATGTACACCACCCTGAGGGACGGACTCATCGTCACTGGGGGGAAGGAACGGCCGTGAGTAACATGCTTTACCTCAGCTGTATTTTTGTAATTCTAGTACCTGTAGGTTAGCATAACATATAGCATCCAACTTTGAATAACTATCTTGTTGTAAAAGTAGTCTGTGGGCCATAGTGACACTCTCAGCGTCTGGTAGGGTCAAACAATGGTTCAGGACTGCTACTGTATGCTTGGTTCAAGATTATCAAAAATAATTGCGGCCGAACCGTGGACACAAGGGCCAACTCAGGGACCTAGGCCTTGGTCTGGATCTGGTAAGCAAGCACGTGGTGAAGCTTAAGTGGATCTTAGCTGGCTTTTTACAACCTCAGCAGCTGTAGGAGCATCAGCTCCTGGGAGGGTCACCAGAGACAAACCCAGATGAAAGACTAGACAAATGGTTGTTTCCTGACTTTGGTTCAAGATGATCAGTAATAATCCTGGCAGGAATAAGGACACCATAACCATGTGAGCCCCTCAACTCAGATCAGCCACAGAAAATAAAACCACAATGGTTGTTGGTGTATTTGACAGGACTAAAGAGGGCGGTGCGGTGAAGCTTTGGGATCAAGAGATGAAGCGTTGCAGAGCATTTCAGCTAGAGACCGGCCAGCCGGTGGAGAACGTCCGATCCGTCTGCAGAGGGAAGGTACGAGGCAGATCTGATCATAAAACCAAACTCTTCTGCAACATTAACACGAAAATGCCACAGTCTGTGGTTATTCACAACAAACATTTTGATTGGTACTGTGCACAAAGGCCATGAAAATACATCCATGTGCATATGCTTAGTTGTGAATAGTTTTTTTTAATTCCACAAAAGGGTTAAATAAAAAGAGTTTAAATATTGTAAAAAGTTACCTCCAATCACAGAGCAGTTAATAGAGCCACTCAGTCGGATCTTTGTCAGAATATTTGCAGAACAGTAGCTAGCTCCTTTTTTTAATAAAATTAATTAGTTCCAACAGATTCTAGGTACAGTGAATCATAAAAGTCAGATTTATTTTCCAAATATAGTGGCTTTAAAACTCTATATAAATATAAAATACATTCTTGGTAAGAGGATGTTGTTCTGTACTTTCTGACACGTCTCTTTCACCCCTGATGATCCAGGGTAAAATCCTGGTGGGAACCAAAGATGGAGAGATCATTGAGGTTGGAGAAAAGAACGCTGCCTCCAACACCATGATCAACGGACACACTCAAGGAGGGATCTGGGGTTTGGCGACTCACCCTTTCAAAGACGTCTTTATCTCTGCGAGCGATGACGGCACCATCCGAATATGGGACCTGGCTGATAAGGTACAAGGCTGAAGACTGACGGTGGAGACTGGGACTGTAGTTGTAGCAGGCTTGGTTAGCTCCACTACAGGTCTGGAGACAACAACATTTTAATCGTCACATGTTCTGCTATCTTGTTTTCTGAGTTAGAAACTTCTGAACAAGGTGAATTTGGGTCATCCTGCCAAGTGCACCTCCTACAGTCCCAACGGAGAGATGGTTTCCATCGGCATGGAGAACGGAGAGTTCATTGTCCTGCTTGTCAACTCCCTCACCGTCTGGGGAAAGAAGAGAGACCGCAGCGTCTCCATCCAGGACATCCGGTAAAACATCATTCTTTAGCAGATATTAGGACATTTTGTAGGACATCATCCTTTAACACTTCTGTTTTGTACCTCATTTGTTTTTTGGGGTGGTTTTCTTGTTTTTCAGGTTCAGTCCAGACAACCGGTTCTTGGCAGTGGGTTCAGTTGAAAGTGCTGTGGATTTCTACGACCTCTCTCTGGGGCCGTCCCTTAACAGGATCGGCTACTGTAAGGACATCCCTGGCTTCGTCATCCAGATCGACTTCTCTGCCGACAGCAAATATATCCAGGTTAAAAAGACTCAAAACCTCGACTCCCGTAGAATTATGACGCAAGTGTACCTGGTCAGTTTGGTCAGGTGCAAATGTAGGTTTGATTGTTGACCTTTTACTAATGGCTGCTTGTAATGTAGTAGAGTGATTTTTCTACTTCTGAGCTCAGTCATCTTTCATGGGAGCGTCATGCCTCACCGGACTGTCTAAAACATAAAATCTCCTTCGTTTCCATCGCAGGTGTCCACCAGCACCTACACTCGGCAGGTGCATGACGTTCCCTCGGGCAAGATTGTCACAGAGCAGTCTGTCATGGAGAGGATCACCTGGGCTACCTGGACGAGGTGAGGCTGGCTGGAAGTTGGAGTTTACGTGCTACTAACGTTTTAAGGGTTGCACCAGCTGAAATACTTCCAATGTAGACATAAGTTATAAATTAAATCTTACACCTAGCCCTTAATAGGTGTAAAGTCCTCTATAAAATAGTCGAGCGGTTGTCATGGCCCATCGTTTTGAAAGGTGGGGTAACTGGGATGAGGAGGAGCAAATTATACCGAGCTCTTGTCTGTAACTGCACACACACAGCCTGGATGACAGCTCGTTTCGGTTAACCAGGCAAAATGCAGATCACAAACTGGTGAAGTTATGAAGGTATATATCCGTTATACGGTACCATTCGTTACGGGTAACGTTACTATTAAATTACACCTATGTTGTTGTAAACGGTTTTACCACTCAATGTCACTGTTTGACTAGCTGTAGATTAAGGTTTCATAGTTATCACCATCATAATTCTTGGTTGTTGGTGTTTTGCTGATATTTTTAGCCGCTAGCCTCTTCAGTATTGCAAACGTTGAAAGAGAGAGAGACAAACAGCCGACAAAACCATAATAAACTCTCTGTTAAGAATAGTGCTGTTCACTGATTGGCCATGGGATGTGTAAACGTCATTTTCTGCGACAATGTTTTGATTAATATGGACTTCACGCCAGAGTAGCTAAGAAGGACCTTACATCTGTGGTGCAACCAAACATTACTAACATTGTAGGCTACTAGGGAACTAACGTTTTAGGCTACTAGGGAACTAACATTGTAGGCTACAAGGGAACTAACATTGTAGGCTACTAGGGAACTAACATCGTAGGCTATTAGGGAACTAACATTGTAGGCTACTAGGGAACTAACATTGTAGGCTACTAGGGAACTAACATTGTAGGCTACTAGGGAACTAACATTGTAGGCTACTAGGGAACTAACATTGTAGGCTACAAGGGAACTAACATTGTAGGCTACTAGGGAACTAACATTGTAGTTCCCTAACATTGTAGGCTACTAGGGAACTAACATTGTAGGCTACTAGGGAACTAACATTGTAGGCTACTAGGGAACTAACATTGTAGGCTACAAGGGAACTAACATTGTAGGCTACTAGGGAACTAACATTGTAGGCTACAAGAGAACTAACATTGTAGGCTACTAGGGAACTAACATTGTAGGCTACTAGGGAACTAACATTGTAGGCTACAAGGGAACTAACATTGTAGGCTACAAGGGAACTAACATTGTAGGCTACTAGGGAACTAACATTGTAGGCTACTAGGGAACTAACATTGTAGGCTAACATGCAACATGTAGGAACTAACATTGTAGGCTACAAGGGAACTAACATTGTAGGCTACTAGGGAACTAACATTGTAGGCTACAAGGGAACTAACATTGTAGGCTACTAGGGAACTAACATTGTAGGCTACTAGGGAACTAACATTGTAGGCTAACATGCAACATGTAGGAACTAACATTGTAGGCTACAAGGGAACTAACATTGTAGGCTACTAGGGAACTAACATTGTAGTTCCCTAACATTGTAGGCTACTAGCGAACTAACATTGTAGGCTACTAGCGAACTAACATTGTAGTTCCCTAACCTTGTAGGCTACTAGCGAACTAACATTGTAGGCTACTAGCGAACTAACATTGTAGGCTACTAGGGAACTAACATTGTAGTTCCCTAACATTGTAGGCTACTAGCGAACTAACATTGTAGGCTACTAGGGAACTAACATTGTAGGCTACTAGCGAACTAACATTGTAGGCTACTAGGGAACTAACATTGTAGGCTACTAGCGAACTAACATTGTAGGCTACTAGGGAACTAACATTGTAGTTCCCTAACATTGTAGGCTACTAGCGAACTAACATTGTAGGCTACTAGAGAACTAAAATTGTAGGCTACTAGCAAACTAACATTGTAGTTCCCTAACATTGTAGGCTACTAGCGAACTAACATTGTAGGCTACTAGCGAACTAACATTGTAGTTCCCTAACATTGTAGGCTACTAGGGAACTAACATTGTAGGCTACTAGGGAACTAACATTGTAGGCTACAAGGGAACTAACATTGTAGTTCCCTAACATTGTAGGCTACTAGGGAACTAACATTGTAGGCTACTAGGGAACTAACATTGTAGGCTACAAGGGAACTAACATTGTAGGCTACAAGGGAACTAACATTGTAGGCTACTAGGGAACTAACATTGTAGGCTACAAGAGAACTAACATTGTAGGCTACTAGGGAACTAACATTGTAGGCTACTAGGGAACTAACATTGTAGGCTACAAGGGAACTAACATTGTAGGCTACAAGGGAACTAACATTGTAGGCTACTAGGGAACTAACATTGTAGGCTACTAGGGAACTAACATTGTAGGCTAACATGCAACATGTAGGAACTAACATTGTAGGCTACAAGGGAACTAACATTGTAGGCTACTAGGGAACTAACATTGTAGTTCCCTAACATTGTAGGCTACTAGCGAACTAACATTGTAGGCTACTAGCGAACTAACATTGTAGGCTACTAGCGAACTAACATTGTAGTTCCCTAACCTTGTAGGCTACTAGCGAACTAACATTGTAGGCTACTAGCGAACTAACATTGTAGGCTACTAGGGAACTAACATTGTAGTTCCCTAACATTGTAGGCTACTAGCGAACTAACATTGTAGGCTACTAGGGAACTAACATTGTAGGCTACTAGCGAACTAACATTGTAGGCTACTAGGGAACTAACATTGTAGGCTACTAGCGAACTAACATTGTAGGCTACTAGGGAACTAACATTGTAGTTCCCTAACATTGTAGGCTACTAGCGAACTAACATTGTAGGCTACTAGAGAACTAAAATTGTAGGCTACTAGCAAACTAACATTGTAGTTCCCTAACATTGTAGGCTACTAGCAAACTAACATTGTAGGCTACTAGCGAACTAACATTGTAGGCTACTAGCGAACTAACATTGTAGTTCCCTAACATTGTAGGCTACTAGGGAACTAACATTGTAGGCTACTAGGGAACTAACATTGTAGGCTACTAGCGAACTAACATTGTAGGCTACAAGGGAACTAACATTGTAGGCTACAAGGGAACTAACATTGTAGGCTACTAGCGAACTAACATTGTAGTTCTCTAACATTGTAGGCTACTAGCGAACTAACATTGTAGGCTACTAGGGAACTAACATTGTAGTTCCCTAACATTGTAGGCTACTAGCGAACTAACATTGTAGGCTACTCATGCAGCTTAACTGTGGAATGATCTATTTCTGGCCGTTTGATAGATTTCTTTACTGTCTGTTTTTAAATCTCTTCTTAAAACCCACCTCTCTCCCTAAAGCTTAGGAAACATACTGTAAATCTAGTCTAGGGAACATTAAAGCGTTAAAGCTTAGGAAACATACTGTAAATCTAGTCTAGGGAACATTAAAGCGTTAAAGCTTAGGGAACATATCAGGGGACCATAAAAACAGCTGGCTGTGTGATCACCCGTATTTATTGTGGTGGTATTTTGTTCTTCTAGCATCCTGGGTGATGAGGTTCTTGGCGTTTGGCCTCGTAACACTGAGAAGGCGGACGTTAACTGTGCTTGTGTTTCCCACGCCGGCCTCAACCTGGTGACCGGAGACGACTTCGGCCTCATCAAGCTCTTTGATTTCCCATGCTCAGAAAAATTTGTAAGTGAAGTTTGTGTGACAATAAATTCTCAATGCCTTCAGAGAGTCGTAAGCTGACACATCACCTCTTTGTGCCTCCTTCTGATCTTTTACAGGCAAAACACAAGCGTTACTTTGGTCACTCTGCTCACGTGACAAACATTCGCTTCTCCTGTGATGATAAGTATGTCATCAGCGCTGGAGGCAGTGACTGCAGGTGAGGTTAGACCTGATCTCTCAGACTCAGTCACTCCCACAAAGAAGAAATAAGAAATGAGTTAATGTAAGAGCAGTTTGATTTAAATTGAAAGAGTGCATTCTGTAACTCAGCTTTGCTTTGTCATCATAAAACACAAACAAACAAAAGAAGAAATGTTTTTTGGTCATTTGACAGCAGTGAGAGGGGTTCAGGCCAACACTTGAGCCCAGAGAGAACGGCAGTATTTCTCTGGTTCCAAACAGATTCACACTCAAGGTCAGTTTATACTTCTGCATTGAATCTAAGCCGACGTGCACCACCCCAGAAATGTAACTACACGTTGCGGCGACGCAGACCGTAAGACCTGTGATTAGTCGCCTCAGTAGTGTCGCATTTACTCCTTCGCATTTCCGGCTTGTCCTTCTTCTTCTGCTTCAACCAGCTAAAGGGTCGCATAAGTGCTCACGACGGCACGTAGCCTACGCTGGCGGCTTCGGCGTAGACTCGATACAGAAGTATAAATCGGCCTTTAAGTGCATCTCCTCATTCATTCTTCTGTTTCTTCCTTACAGTTTATTTGTGTGGAAATGTCAGTGAGATCTCCAAAACCCTGAGGAGGTCACCTGAGTCCTCCGTCAGAGTCTCCTTCTTCTTCTTCTTCTTCTCCTGTGATGCTGCACTCACCTCTGCTGACGCTTCAGTCCCTTTACCTGAGATCACACAGGGCAGGAGAAACAAACTGCGTCTGAGTGTTTAAATCTGCACAAGCTGCTGCTGACAGACTCAAACCTGTGACATGTCTGCTGCGGGACGCTCTGTTCCTCCGCCAGCGGTCTTTGTTGTGACGTAGGTCTTCTTGTACATTCAGATATATTTAATGTGAAACTGAAGAGCAAGCGTTATATTTCAGGTCTCTGTGTACAAACGTTTAAATGTTGGTAACTTTGTCAAAAATAGATCCAAAAAGATGAGCACGGTGCAGATATTCAGTTTGACCTCTTTAAAAGCACTCGTAGCTGTTTAACGTAGCTGTTTCTGTTTGTCAGTATGTGCCTTTTTCACAAACTCTGACCAAACATTTGATACAACTTTATTTATAATCGTGGTGCTATCAAACGTGATCATTTAGGGCTCTTTACATGTATGGATGATGAATACTGTAGTTGTATTGTTTTGTATCTCGTACTGTCTGATGATGATGATGATGATGACGAAGATGCAGTTATACTTCACTGTACTGAGAAGGCTACTAAAGTGAAGTAGAAAAAAGGTGTTAAAATAAAAACTAGTTTGTTTAATATTGTTTTAAAAAAGTAAAAGAATTCTACCTCTAACTACAATAAAGTGAAACGAAATAACAATAATAAATATTTAAGGTAGAAAATAGATATTTACTAGAATGACATTTTCATTGAGCAGTCCTGTCCACCAGATGGCGCTGTGTTTTCTCTGTTACTTGTGTCCTGTAGAAATAAAACCTGCTTTTGAACATCTGAACGAGGATTTAAAGGAAACACGTTTATCTGGTGACTCGTTCTTTAGGAACCTTTGCATCAACACATATTATATATGTTCCTGTCTCCAACGTTAACATCTGCTGCACCGTGTTTTCACTGCAGTTAGAGGGTGTTAAATGTCAAATCCAGCATTTTGGACATCTGGAGCTGTTGGGACCAAACATCATTTATCACAACATAAAAACAAAATGATTTCTTCAAATATTTAAATTCTTCAAATTGTTTAAAGAAAACAAAGGAAAATGATTCTTTGGTCTAACTGCTCCCAAACTAAAAATGAAGCATTTAGGCTTTGAGGAGTCGTGAAATGAAGTTTCCTCAGATGCAGCAGTTCCCCAACCTGTGAATCTAAAGATAAACGACAAAAATTAAATCAATGCTCTTTTTCTTGTTAATAACAAATCATTTCTTTAAATTGTTCAAAGTAAACAAAGATAAAATCACTCTGGTTGAACAGGTCACAGTCAGGAAACCAGACATCTGTAGATGAGCACCAGCCTCAGTCAGAGGGATCAGAACTAATACGTAGGTGACAGAACTTTATTAAAGACCACTGGAAACTGCATAAAGACTGTAAAATGGAAAATGTAGTACAATGAAACTGAGGTACCACAAAGAGTAGGGTCTATAAATAAAACTGACTTAAATTGAACTAAAACTGTCTCTGATTGGCTTGAAACTGCTCCTCCTTTTAGATCATTTCAACATTCAGTACTGGAGAACTTTTTGTGGAGTCATTTTAGAAATTTGATTGTTCTCAGTAGAACCCACTGCAGAGCTTTTGGCTGATTACTTATGGAGTTCCGCAGGAGTCCATGTTGGGTCCCATATTCTTTTACTTTTTCATCATTTTACCTGAACATATACATTACCCACGGACGCTGCAAACATTTTTACATCTATGTTTTTATGGCAAACACAGTTCAGGTCAACAGTTTAACCACTTTTCTAAATCAAACTGAAGGTAACTACAGCAGCAGTGAGTGGGTTAACCAACAATGGACAACAAAACATGGAGGACCTTTCTTCATTTGGACTCCCCCTCCTTTCAGTCTGTAGTTTTACTACATCAGGATACTTATCGTTAATTATCAATTTTAAAGAGGCTTGTCGTGAGCGTCAATAATTTTATAGCTTTAAAATTATATATAATATAATAATTATATAATTATATCGTGCTCAAAATTGAACTGTCAAACTTACATTTCCCCCCATAAATGTTAAAATCATACTGATTGGTAATTTCTCTTGTCTTCCTTTTGCTTAGCTAGGCTAAATGTCCTGGTATAACACTGGTTACCTAAAAACAGCAACCATAACATTGGATGTGGTGGCTATTTGTAGGTAGCTGCAGCCCTCTAGTGGGTGATTTAAAAAAAACAGCACAGTTTACATTTACTTGACGCTTTTATCCAAAGCGACTTACAATTGCTATATACGTATATCAGAGGTCGCACGCCTCTGGAGCAACGAGGGGTTAAGTGTCTTGCTCAGGGACACAGTGGGGGATTGAACCCAGGTCTCCCACACTAAAGGCAAGCATCTATGCGCCATCACCTGCCCAGTTCTCAAACACAGAAGGATGCCTGGTTTGCTCTAATTGAAAAAGTAAAATGCACAAATTCACCTCTTGATCGTTCTCTGTCATGGTTCAATAAAGCCCCATGGAGCCACAACCAAATTCAAACCATGTAAAAACCACAGAAATATGTTGTCAATATTCAATTAAGCCACTACTCCGGCTAAATCCGTCCATTTTCACAATCGTTCCTGAGTATACTACCAGACCAGCCATATATATGTATATAATTATAATTACTATCTTTAGATCTCTAAAGTGCTCATTCATACAGCAGCCTCACGCCCATATCTATGAGTAACATCTTGTGGGGAATATATTGAAGTAATAAGCTTGACACACTAGAATAAAACCTCTTCTAAAAATTTAAACAATTTAATAATAATCTCAAACACTGCAGGTTGTTCACCAGTGAGGAGCTGTGAAACAACAGCACGGCTCTGTCAAAGTAAAAGTTATGTTGCGTTCTCTGGCGGACCTGGATCAGCTGTTAGCTGTAAACAAACCACAGAGCTAACGCTAACGTTGCTATGTGACTGTGTTTTAATGGCTTAATTAACAAAATAGCTATATAATGTCAGTCCAGTGACTGTTACCTGACAGCCGACCTGCCTCTCGTTCTCCGGCGCTGGCAGGAACTCAGCCTGCCGAGTGAAGACTGAGGAGGACCCATGTGAGCGCTGAACGAGTCCTAGAGACCCACAGTTGAGAGTCGTGAACTGATCAGTTCTGTTTCCTGTGCTGACGGAGCCCTCGCAGCTGTCGTGTGACGAGTGAACGTAAGAGTCCAAGATCCTTCACGCATGCGTGAAAATGAACGAATCACTCACTGAGACAACCCGTTCCTCCTGAGTCACAGACAAGATCAGGTCAAATGAACGAAACGTTCTTTGAACGACACAACACTAATTCACCGGTCTTGTGTGAGTTTTGCGTGCACGCCGTGCTGCCGACAGCTGCCTGCACATCGCGGTTCCTCGCGGGTCTATTTCAAGTAGCCGGCTGTTTGAAAACAATAAAATATTCTTTGTGTGGTTCATCAACGGTGATAAATTATCCGAAAGTCCCGCGAGGTGCGAACAACTCGGCACAACACCAGTGAAGCCGGAGCTCCGCCTCTTCAGCAAGTGTTCCTCTTGCACCACACACACGCTGCGCAGCTAGTTCCTCTCCAGAGACTGGGGACTGTTTGGACAGCAGTTCTGCTCGATGGTAGCAGCATGTAGCTGTAGTACCGGAGGATGCATTTTCAGGACCGCAGTCCCAGGACCGGAACCGCATTTTTAGGACCCTAGTTTTCCGTGACACTGCCACCTACCAAGCAAACAAGGTGGACAACAATCAGTGTGAATCAAGTTTTGTTTAACAAACAATTCTACGGCGGTTGGGATCCAACTTAAATAGTGCATTACCTCCACCTACTGTGCAGAGTAAGAAACTCAACAAGTATTTCTGATGAAGAAAATCCACAGAGTGGCAGCAGCTCTGGGATCAGGAGATAAGAAGCATCCAGCTGGACTCTGTGAACATGAAAAGGTTAAGTGCAGCAGATACAGCTCAGAGAGGAAGCACTGACTGAAGATCAGGGCCAACAGGAGCAGGGCCCCGTTTCAGAGAGCGAGATCAGATAAACTCTAGATCAGTAACTCCGGCAACTGATGCTATGAACCTGACCAGCTCGGGAGGAAAACCGCCAGTTTCTCTCTGACTCCTCCCGCGGAGCCTGAGGCGGCTCATCCATTCTGTCGATATCAAAGCTCATATCTGAACACATTTACAACTTTAAAACCTTTAAAATCCGGTTAGACAGGCTTAGTTTTTCACCCAACATGATCTTGAACATGTCGCTTCATGATCAGTCTGTCATCGATGTGAGGACAGATCTCCACATGGATTCATCCTCAGCACAGAATAAAATCTATGTGATCGGACTGATTGGTGAACAGTAACCTTTCATAGTGTAGTCGCACAGACTGGAACATTCAACTGGAGATCATGTGACTGTTTCTGAGGATGACTGTGGTGCAGCTGAAACAAACAGACCTGACTAAGGTTTAAAAGTGAGTTTTTCATTATTGCTGCTGACAGTCTGAATGTGTTCTGACAGCATTAATAAAATACAAAATGAGCCAGATTTTACTAATGTAACATAGACGTCTAAAACTTTAACCTACAGACACATTTTCCACTGCAAAAAATAATGAATAGTCTGACCTGCTGGGTGTGACTAACTTTACAATCAGTAAACTGTGTCTTATATTTGATCTGCACCTATTTTCATAATCAGGCAGCCGAGTGCCTCCGGCATTTAGTCCCGTCGGGTTACAGCTTATAAATACAGCCTTCCTATTGGAAATGTAACGGCTGCAGCTCTTTCTCATTCATTAAGGAAAGTCCAGTCTGCTAAATGATGAATGAGCAGCGCTGTGTAGCAGCCTAATGATGTTCACGCTTTGATCCTCTGCTCCTGCGTTTTAGAGCCAATCAGGGTCCACGCTGGCAGCGTTCATATTTCTAGCTCCACCCGATTAAAATGGAGCCTCTGCCTTTATTTACCCGTTGCCATGGTGAATCGTTGTATCAGAACGCCATTGATGAGGCTTTTTTTCATCCCCACGCGCTTCCATCAGGCTCAATGTTGACTGAACTGATTCTGATCAGCTGTTCTGGAACCGCAAACTCAGAGTTTCCCACCTCAGCTCAGAGCTCAGGGATAAACTCAGAGTTTGTTAAGCCTGCTTTCTGAAACAGGGCCCTGGACTAAAGGAGGCTGGTGGACCTGGACACAGCAGGATGTTTTCCATCCATCTGGGTCTCCTCTGGAAGTTTCCTACATCTGTTTGCACTGATCTCTTGGAAAGCAGCCCAGTTTCCATCTCATAGTAACTCTTCATAGTCACTACAGGGTGGTGTTGACTTCCTCCTGCTTAAACCTGCTGCGGCACTAGATACCAACATAGAATTAACAGCATGAAGAGGATCCATGTCTGAGTTTTCCAGTTCTAAAGCTAATTGAAAGATTTAAACGAGCCCTTATCTAACGACCTTATCGTTTATAGTGTTGTATCATCTCAACGTAATTCAACATTTGATCTTCTTTATAAATAAAAACAGGGAGGCTCCTGAGGGTCTGCCTGTGAACACACCTGTGTGTGCAGGTGTGGTGGGCGGAGTCAGGTCATCAGGTCTGACTGGTTGCCGTGGAGACAGTCAGACGGGCTGTTGCGTTGCTGTGACTTCATCTCCTCCCTCAGTTGAAGCTGAATGAACCCGTGTGAAGGTCCAGCTCCAGTAGAACCGTTCTAAAGGTAAACCTGAACCTGCTGAGCCGTCGTGTGTGTGACGCTCCACGTGAACCGGGTTCTCACTTTAACAGGTCACCTCTTGGACTAAATCAGTCA